TAATAATAATAATAATAATAATAATAATAATAATAATAATAGTAAAAATGTTAATAAAATAGTCATAAATTTAAAAATTACAAAGGATAAAATCTAGAGCATTTAAAAAATATTCTTTTGATGGGACAAATTATCCAGCCAGCAAATGAACTGAACGCATACACAAATGGCCGGTATTTGAAAATGCGCTTTGAGACTGTGACTATTATCAAAACAAACAAACAAACAAACAAACAAACACTCAAGCAAGCAAACCAACCAACCAGCTGAAGCCAGCAAAGATGCAGGGAAAAGGAAGCTTTTATTAACTGTTGGAATGAGTATTGACTGGCACAGCTGCTCTGGAAGTCAATGTAGAATCCTGGAAAGATGAAAAGTAGTGTTTTGCCCAAGTCTCAGGGACCCCAAAGACCACCAAAGAGCCTAAGCTCATGCAAATTCAGGAGGGTCTTTTCTTGCAAGCATGACCTCAGGCCCATACCCTCACCAGACTCAGTGGTTCTTGAGTGTAGAGCCCTGAGCTCAGGGGGAGGAGGGTTTTTATTTAGGGTTACAACAACGTTGGGAAATTTCAGCTTTGTAGGCAGTTTTATGAAAGACTGATATTTAGCAAATATCAGATGTCTGGAGAAAATTGTTTGCCGGGAGGGCCAAGCCAAACGGTAATTGTTTTACTCACCCTATTGTAAAGAACACCTGGGCGAATTCCAGGTCTTCACTGATTAGCCTTTGCTAAGGGTGATGGTTAAATATTACTGGGTTTTCTCCAGGCTGTTCCTTGGGTAGGGGACTCCCCTATCTTCTTTCTGGAATTAGTGACCTATGGCCTAGTTCCTGCGACTGGTGACTTTTGGGGCCTGGTTCTTTCAGTAGAATTATCAAGCCTCTTATATGCTTGTAATCCCAGCACTCAGAAAGCAGAGGCAGGCAGCGTTTTGTGAATTTGAGGCCAGCCTGGTCTACATAGAGAGTTCCATGACAGCCAGGGCTGGTGAAGACAGGACTTTTAAAAGTGCCATCTTCAGCTACACTTGGGAGCTTAAATTCAAGGCCAGCCTGGATACACAAGACACTGTCTCAAACAACAACAGGAACACCACCAGTACGTGATCAATGTGTTCATTTCCTTAATACTTCGAAACAAGTTGTGTGCTATAAGAAATAATAAACTGGGGCGTAGTAGTCATTATGGTGAGCTTAAGCAAACACCTCAAAACAGAAACACAGATTTATAATGTATAAGAAACATCCAAGAATAGAGAAGAAAGCCCTTGGGCGCTAAAAACAAAGAAATCAAAGCGGGCACAGGAAAGCAGGAGCAAGAAATGTGGCCAGACAATCACAAGGGGAGTTTGGGGAGGAAGGGCTACCTACAGGAGACAAGACAGCTATCCAGAAAGAAAGTGATGATTCACAGCCCCCTACCACCACATAAAAGTGTCTTTTCCTATCACTACCACCGTTGTGTGCTGAATCTCTCCCAGGCCAAGAGATGAGAAGATGCTGTACTGCTACTGCGTCTTGCCTTCCCTTAGTATCCTTTTTGTCCACTGATTTTATATATTAGCTCTTTAAGACCGTACTTACTCAGGCTTTGTTATTTACATGGAAAGCAAGTCAGGTTTGTTAGGATTTTGCAGAGAAGTTACGTGGCAGGTTCACAAATCACGCCACAGGACTGTTTCCATGTGGGAGGTTTATTAAGAGAAGAGGAAAGGGGTCACAGAGACCTTCTCTGGGTAGCGCAAGAGAGGGGGTGGGTGGTGGGAGTTCTGTTATAAGGTGACCCAGAGCATGTGCAGGTGGGTTCAGGTGGTCCGCAGGTGGTCCATAGATGGAGTCACAGATGCCTGATGTCTGGTTTACCAGGTCCCTTGGGGCTGGCTGTAGAGATGCCTGCTTATGGATGCCAATAAAGTTCTTCTTGAATTGTTAGTGATACATTTTATCATGAAAGTTTTATTTTAGGGGAACAGACAGAAAAAAAGTTTTCTTTTTAAGTTATATATTTAAATACATTTTAAAAGACTGTAGTATTAAAAAATTACTGCAGCCAGGCATGGTGGTACAAGCCTTTAATCACAGTACTCTGGAGGCAGAAGCAGGCAATTCTCTGAGTTTGAGGACAGCCTCAAAGTCAATGCAGGATATCCAGGAATAAACAGAGAAAACTTGTCTCCTAAAAGAAAACAAAGAAACAATAAAATTAATACAACTCTTATTTTTCAATTTCATAGTCTGAATAAAATTATTAACAATCATTACATCCTCAATTATTCTTTTAGTTTTCTTAAGTTTCTGGTCCTTTTGGCAGGTAAAGCATAGTTTAGACAAAATAGTATTATCATGAAGACCAGTCATAAAAACAAAGGAGTTCAGAAAGAAAAGGTTAAAATGTCTATATAGCAGGCTGAAAAGATGGCTCAGTGGTGAAGAGTACTGGCTGCTCTTCCATAGGTCCTGAGCTCAATTCCCAGCAAACACATCATAACCATCCCTAGTGGAGTCTGATTCCCTCTTCTGGTGTGAATGGAAACAGAACACTCTTATACATAAAACAAATACATTTTAACATATCTATATAGGAACCAGTGAGATGGCTCAGTAAGGTAAAAGTGCCTGCCATGCAAGACTGACCATCAGAGCTGAATCTGTGCATCCAAAAGCTATCAGGATGTTGTGCCCTGAGATTTATATTTTTATATCGCCTAATGTTGGGATCCGTAAGCAAGCATCTCTATGGCCAGCCCCAAGAGACCTGACGAAATGGATATCTGGCATCTATGAGGCCACCTAGAAGACACCTGGCTGGTCAACTGGAACCAACTGTGCATGCTTGGGGTCACCTTATAAGAGAACTTGAAGCTCATCCTCTCTCCCTCTTTCTCTCCTGCCCCATCCAGAGATGGACTCTGCAACCCCTTTCCTTTCCTTTAATAAACCTTCCATATGGAACAGGTTGCGTGGCCTGATTTGAGAACCTACTGTAAAACTCTCACTCTGCACTATATCTATCATTGGTGCATTGGCCGGGAATATGTTCAGCCCAGTGGGAACACTGCATGGGGAGTGCTGGGACTCCACTGGGGCTGCTGGAGACCTATTTTATTCCAAATCTGCCCGTGAACCTCACTTTCCAGCAACCAGATCACTACTGCAACATAACACCAGCTAAATTGGTGGGTCCCCCCTGTTGGTCAGCATAAACTTTTCTCTTGGTAAGGGAGGACTGACTGTTGAGAATCTCAATACCCTTTGGAGCAGGGGCCCCCACAACCACGGTCTTTCTTGGCTGTGGTTGGCCCCTTTTGCTGTACCTCCATTTCCATTAGGGTCCCACTTTCCCTTGGGAGAGCCTCCCACTTGTGCACGGTCTGTTCTTCCCCTCTCTTGCTTGCTCAGGGAAGTCCTAGCCCTCGGTGGGTTGAACTCTCCTGCCGTGTCCCCGGGCATCTGCACCCTGATCTCTGGCCAAAAGGTGACGAGCTATTGGATCAGGTAGGACCTCTTGTCTGAGTCACACTTTGCCTTTGGGACGCCTTTGGAAGGTCACTGACTTCTCTGCCTCCCAAAGGAAAACACCCAGATGACCATTCCTCCAGTGTCCCCACTGAGTTTTCTTCTGTAGAATTTTCAAACATTACACATCGAGCCTCAATTAAAGGCCTCTAAGCTCACATGACTCTGTAATAAGACCTGGCCTGCATATTTTTAAGTAAGGGTTCACATTAAATCCCAATATTTTACGGGATCTTATTTACTGCCAGAAATCTGGTAAATGGAAGGATGTACCATATGTTCAAGATTTCTCTCTTCTCTGCTCTAAACCTTCTCTCTGCTCTTCCTGTACTCCTATCCAACTTCTTCTAGCTATAAAGTCTCAACTTCAAGAGGTATCTACTTTTGACCCTGCAGATGAACCTCCACCCTGCTGTTCTCAACCTCCAGCTTCTCTAAAATCCTCACCACCTCCGGTGTCTTCTCCCTACTTTCATACTCCAGTTTCTTCCTCTTCAACTTCTCCAGAATCTTTACAACCTCTGGCGTCTTCCCCCTCCTCTTTCCTTCGGCTTCTCCAAAATCCTCACCTCCTTCCCCGGCAATAGGCTGTCCTAGTCAGCTCACTATGGCAACCACTTTCACCTCACCAACAATTATTAGCCCCCCTGCTACCAGTTCTCACTCTCTAGCAAAGTCCGCTCCAGGAGGTCATTCAGGACAGAAAAGAAAACCCGTCTCAATTCCTAGAGTGCCTTACAAAGGCCTTTTTACAACACACTAATCTAGATCCCGAAAGTACAGAGAGCAGACAACTACTAATGACCTATTTTTTCTCCCAAAGGTTCCCCAACATCAGGGCTAAGTTTAAATCCTTGGAGAAAAGACCTCTGACTCCACAGGCAGAAGTCTTAGTGCTGGCCTTTAAGGTGTACCACGGGAGAGCTGAAAAAGCCCGCAAGCAAAAATACCAAATGCTGGCGGAGGGCATCTAGCCAGCCTCAGCTATGAAGCAGGCTCCCTTGCCTCCTAAGGCATGACACAAAGCTTGCCAGTGTCCTCTCTCCTCCTCCTAGCTACCCTACCTACCAGTTCTGATAGGTTGCTTCCTTTACCAGCCTCTCAAGTGGACTCCCAAGTCTGGGATGCCCAAAACCCCTCTGTGGTGAGACACCATTCCCCTGTAGTCATTCAGCTACAGAACCACACCTGGTATATTGCCCAGGCTCCATAACAACTTCCTCTCAAGAGTCTTAGAGGACTTATGCCTATTATCACTGAGCTTCTAAGAAAAAACTCCTTCGCCCCACTTCCTCTCCTTTTAACACCCCTATACTTGCAGTTACAAAGCCCAATGGAGCCTATCACCTGCTTCAAGACCTCCGGCTTCTCAAATCTGCAGTTGTCCCCCTTCACCCTGTTGTCGCCAATCCCATTTCTCAGTTCTCAGCCAATCCCATTTCTCAGTTCTCTCTATTCCTTTAGACACCCACTCACAAAATATCTTTGCCTTTACCTGGACTGACCCTGAAACCCTTGTTTCTACTCAGCTAACTTGGACTGTTCTACCCCAGGGATTCTACCCCTTTTTGGCCAAGCTCTAGCTTCTGATTGATTCTCCTTATCTCTCCCTAAATCTACAGTCAATCCCTACAAGTTAGCCAAAATAACACTTCTGCTCATCTAAATTTCCTATCCAGGAGTGGCTATCGGGTATCATCCTCTAAGGTCCAATTATCCCCATCTGAGATCACTTACCTGGAACTAACAATAACACCAACACACAAGGGCATCACCCTAGATAGAAAAGACCTAATATGCACCAGATCCCATTATAGATGGTTGTGAGCTACCATGTGGTTTCTGAGAATTGAACTCAGGACCTTTAGAAGAGCAGCCAGTGCTCTTAACCTCTGAGCTATCTTTCCAGCCCTCTTAATATTTAAAACTTTCTTCCTTGACCTAACTCTGACTATTCCCCATCTCACTCTTGCACTGAAACTTTAGAGAAACTATTGTCACCCCCCCCCCCACATACAGAAGAGCACATTGCCTCAGATCATCTATACCTGCTATACAGATAGCAGCTCCTTTGTACATGAGGGAGCTCAAAAAGTAGGCTATGCCATAGTGTCAGATACCAAGGTGCTTGAGGTACAAGTCCTCCATGCCCACACCACTAATCAACAGGTCACAGTAATAGCTTTTCCTGCACCTTCCACTTGGCCCAGGGACAATCCCTTACTATCTATACAGACTCTAAATACGTCTTTCATATTCTTCTCTCCCATGCTGCCATCTGGACAGAGTGTGGGTTACTTACAGCAAAGGGAGGATCTGTATCCAATGCAGGCCAAATTATGGCCATGCTGGAAGCCTCCCACCTTCCCACAGCCATCAGAATAGTCCACTGCCGGTCCCACTGGACAGACGATTCCATAGTTTCCAAAGGAAATAACCGGGCTGAAGAGGCAGCTAAGGCTCCAGCCCTTAAAGGCCTAGACTCATCTCACTCACCGCAAAACATCCTTACACTACAACCCACATCTCCCTTAACATCTCCTGAAACTCGTCAGATGCTGTCCTATCTACACTAGTTCTTTCATCCTATCAGTCAAGCACTGTCTAACTTTGTCACGGCTCACGTGAAGCCTACCCCTGAGTACTTGCATTTCCTAAAAACCATTATTGCCCCTTGTAAGAATTGCCAGACCTCAGATCCTAACTCAGGATATCGTACCTCGCCTTTCCCTACCCACCAGACTAGAGGCTCTCTCCCTGGTACTGACTGGCAACTTGATTTTATTCACATGTCAGCAGTGTCCGGTATCTCCTGGTCTTGGTGGACACTTTCTCAGGATGGATGGAGGCTTTTCGAGCTACTAACAAAAGAGCTCAGTTTCTGATCTCTTTCTCCATGAGATTATCCCACGTTTTGAAATTCTTCCCTCCCTCCAGTCAGAAAATGGTCTTGAGTTCATTTCTTATGTTTCCCAGACCTTATCTAAAGCTCTTAATATTCCTTGCTATTTTCATATCTCATACCATCCCCAGTCTTTAGGAAAGATAGAACGAACTAACTAACCAATCCTTAAAAATTATTCTTGTTAAACTATCACATGAACTTCACCATGACTGGGTAAAACTCCTCCCTCTTGGCCCTTTTCAGGCTACGAGCTCTCCATAAAAAAACCTCTATTTCACCTTTTGAGCTCATGGGTGGGAGACCGGTCCTAAGTCCTGGTCATTCAGCGAAATCCTCGCCTCTCCCTGACCACCTACTTACTCCCTTACTCTGTCATCTCTGTTCTCGTCTATGGGTCTTTACTGACCACTGTTTACCACGGCCATACACTAACCCCTGTCCATCTCCTATTAACATTGGGTGCCAGGTCCTTCTCTCTCCTCCAAAGTTCCCCAACTCTTTCTTCTAAATGGCAGGGTCCTTTCCAGGTGATTCTTGTGAGCTCCACAGCTGCTAAGCTTGAGGGCTTCCCTCACTGGATTCATCTATCACAACTGAAGCCTTTTAGCCTCTCTCCTCAAGATAATGCTCCCTCCTACATATCAATTCCAACTGGACCCTGCTTCCTCAAGCTCCAAAAGAAGCCAAGATCAACCACCTTGTCTCCGGTTCCAGAAAAATGAGGCCTCACTACAGGAGCTGTGTTTCACCCTACT